GTGGATGCTGACGCTGGCGCGGGCGTTTGTGCTCCTGGTGCCCTCCTGGTTCTCTGTTCAGAAGTGCGCCTGTAGAGCTGTCCTTCTGAGGAGCATACATCTAGCCAATGAAGCATGTAGCAGTAGCTAAGTCAGCATAATATAAAAGTGCGTATTGCCTTTCTTTTCCATTATAGACCGAAAAGAATGACAGTGAGCCGGGCAGCCAGAGGATTAAACCTGTCTTCGTTGAAGATGCTAATTTTGGGAGGCAAATATCCTATCAGCACGCAGCGGTCCATATTCCCACTGACATCTACGAGGGATGTAAGTAAGATGTGAATGACTGCTGGGTGCTTGCTCTTGCCTGTCCTATGGATCCCCTTTGAAACCCAAAATAGAAGCAAATGTGACACTATTTTATTTACAAGCGGTTCATATGTCTGTGAGAACATTGGGTGTAGCTCTCAGTAGGACAGGATTTATCTAGCACGTGTGAGGCCCCAAGTTCGATGCCCAGCATGGACAGAAGGAAAACAAAGCCATCTTAAACTCTAGTTTATGTAAGAAATGAATGAGTCTGACTGTGACCAGAGCGTGATCCCCGTGTCCCGATTACGTACGTACTTGCAGGAAAGTCTGCAGCGATGGAGATGTCCCATAACCCGTGTCTAGGGACTCCTGCCGTCCCCTGCCACGTCAGTGACTCGCAGTGTGTGGACGGCCCATGCGTGGGTAGAAGCCATCACAGCGCCGCTGTCCGTGGCACCCGCGAGACCGCCTCCCGCACGCGCGCAGCCGGCCCGGGCGCAGACCCGCGGTCCTCCCCACGCGTCGTGGGCAGCGGTGGGCGGGCGTGGGCTGCCGTGGGCGGGCGTGCTGCGAGCCCCTTCTCAGCGGCGCATTGTGCGCTCAGAGGCGTGCACACTGCAGGAAGGGGCCAGCCACAGCCGCGCAGCCGGAGCCACCGGCCTGCGGTGGGGACTGCCTCCCTGGGGGCAGAGCGGAGGGAGGGAGGCGCTCGGGAGAGCCGCGGGGGCCCGCGGGCCTGTGCTGGGTGCTGCGTGCCTGGGAACGGTAGCGGGTTCCGGGATGCCCGCCGCCCCGGGAGGGTTGGGGGCGGGCGCAGGAGGCGGGCGGGGCTGTCCCGCGGCGCTGCAGCAGGCGCGCAGCAGCGGGGCGCTGGGGGCTGCTCTCCTGCTCCCGGTGTCCAGGGTACGCGGACGGCCAGGCGCGGCCGCAGAGAGCTCAGGTGTGCACTGGGCCACGCCACTTTCTGTCCCCACATTACTTTCTGGGCAGGCACTTTCTCATCTGTGAGGTGAGCTCAGATCCCGGGCTGAAACAGCACTCGGAGGCAAGCCGAGCTCATAAAGGTCCCTCCCTAGAGCCACATGCGAGTCAGCGTCTGCGCCCCTTGGTAGTGCAATTACAGTCTGCTTAGGCAAAGAAGGGTACATTGACTTTATAAATAAGCTTTTGTTTGTAGTTTCAGCCAGTTTGTTTATTTAAAAAAAGAATATTTAAATATATGATTTTTATGACAAATTTCATTGTTTATGTTACTCATTTTATTCTGTCTCTGTCTCTCTGTCTCTGTCTCTATCTTTCTGTCTCTGTCTCTGTCTCTGTCTGTCTTTCTGTCTCTGTCTCTGTCTGTCTTTCTGTCTCTGTCTCTGTCTCTCTGTCTCTGTCTCTGTCTCTGTCTGTCTGTCTGTCTCTCTCTCTCTCTCTCTCTCTGTCTCTGTCTCTCCTTTCTTTCCCTCAGTGCTAGGGGAATCCAACACCCACCCTACACTTGTTAGTTAAGCGCTCTACCATTAACCAGCTTCCTGTCTTTTTCAGCTCATATGAAAAGAACATGCTGTTTTCAAACAATTGATTTGGAGAGAGCTTTAATGTGCACTTTTTCTCCATCAGAAATGAATTTATGGGTATGGTGACGACACAGCTCAGTGGCTCCCTGTCTGCCTGGCAAGTGCAAGGTCCTGAGTTCAATTCCAAGTGCCAAAAACAAAACTAAAAAAAGAAATAAACTTGTGAATACATGTAAAATGTAATTTAACCTCTTTATAATTAAACTCACAGTGTTAACTCTGAGTTCTCTTTGGAATTACATCAGATTTAAATCAAGATATACAGCTTTAATAAATAATACTTTTGAATCAGTATTTTTTTTTCCCAGAACCGGGGATTGAACTCAGACCCTTGAGCTAGCCAGGGAAGCGCTTATTCTACTGAGCCGTCTCCCCGGCCCCTAATAAATAATACTTTTGTTAGTTTTCCTTAATCATTTTTGTATTTGCAGTATTTTTATTTTGATAACTCTTTGCCACTAAACTATGTAGTGATATTTCTCAATTTTTTAAAATAATCTTGTTTCAACACATATCATTCCAAATTTTCCATCACCTATTTGAGTTTGGTTTATCAACAAATAATATTGCCCTCTTATCGTCCCTCTGTTGCATTCACAGATGCACAAACTGATGGGTATAACGTGAAACAAAATTCACTGTCATCACTACTCTGCAGATTTGTTTAAAATAGACAGGTACCCAGAAGGCTTGTGCGGAAAGCAGATGAGAGCAAAATCGCTCTTGTGGAGACAAAGGCGGCAGGCCCGCCCCGGCCTCTGCGTTCCCTGGAGGCGCAGTGCTGGCAGTCAGGATGTGGCCTCTGTGCGGCTTCCTAGGTGGTTGTTTATTCAGGAGGGTCCTCATCTTCTTTTTCTCTCTTACTATTTTTAGTTCAAACCACATTTGTCATTAAAGAATAAAGTATTTATACTATCGTGGACATAAAATCCAACACACACAATTGAAATACTTTTTAAAACCGCATTCTTTTTATATAGGACACAATTGTTTTCAGGCCCTATGTGAGTTGTGAGCATGCATATTTTTCTTTGCAATTTAGAAAAAAGTAATTGTGAGCATTTGTAGAGAATGATTAAATTGTTGTAAAGAATAAAATCTGTTTCTTTGAAAACCAATGGGAAGTGTTTAAACATATGTTGTTAGATGCCATATCTGAGATATTTATACTTTAAAATAACAAAAAAAGCTCTGTTTTTGGATTATGCAGCCTCATTTTCTTTCCTCCGTATTGGCATCTTTCTGTACCAAAACCTCATTGGACAGATCTTAACCTGGTGCATCCTCTGCTTCTTTAAAATTCATGTCCCTCGCTATGGACTACAGGTGGAAATAGTAGAAGTCACATCAGAAATGTCAACAAGATCTGGAGAGTTGTATAATTACCGGTGTTCCTCGGGCAGCATGTGGCACAGAGCAGATTGAGAGAATCGTTCTGTGCTTCTGAGTTTAATGAATGTGAACCTGCCCTGTAATTGAAGGCTTAGCTGAGGCAGGCAGCTCGCCTGCTCCGAGGCGGATGCGCACCGCGCCCTCAGAAGAAATCTTCAGTTCAGATTTCCCAGAGGTGATTGCCTTCAAAATCCTTTGAACTGAAATGTGATTATTTTTGCTCAGTGATCTATTTAAAGCTTCAGAACAGCCTCTTTAATTGGAACACCATCTGAAGGCTCCTGTTTTGGTGAACTTCACTTTTACTAGTTTTAATTTTGAGAGCACCTGAACTGCACTTAAATTAAAAATCCCATTTGGCTGTTTGAGAATGTACAAAATAAGCCTGCAAATCATTGAAAACAATCCACGAATGTTCTGATGTAGTTTGCTTTTAGTCATAGAAACTTATTAATTGCTGCACCCTTTCAGATGTAATTTTGGGGAGTGTTTCATACAATATTCTGCCGTCGTTTTCAAGAAAAATTTTATGACATTGTATGGATAGTTCTGGAAAAATATGCCTTAATGAGAGGGGAAAATGACAAAAGTGGTCCCAGGCTTACTCCAAATTTTCAGGTATCAGGGGATTTTATCTTTCCACTTACCCTTACTGTGATGTAAGCAAAGACATAGTATTAGAAATAATACTTCTGTTATTTATTAGAAATAATAGTATTATTTTGTTATTAGAAATAACAAAATTCAACGTATTTTGATCTCAAATATAGATTTATTTTCCTAAATCAGGAGCATTTCAGGAGTTGTATTTTTGAAGTTTCCTTTACTTTACTAAAATAATTAGCTTTTTGTGCACTTAAGTGATAATCAGCAGCGCTTCCCTCGTAATCTGTCCAGACACACACTAGCCTTGGGCGGGGTCGCTGCTGCACTGTAAGGTTGTTAGGGTTCAAGTTAGGCAGGAAAATGTCTGCCCAGGGATTGTGTACAAAATTTGTCTTTCTGAGAAATGTGTATTTAGCCCTTCGTGTTCCTTTATAAAAACTCCATTTATCTTGAGTAATTTCTGTAAAACTTTCAGAGAAATACTTTCAAGTTTTTCAAATTGTACTATAACAGAAGAAATATGAGAAATCAATACACTTATATCACTTCTCATATAAAAATAAAAACTTGTAGCACAAAAAAGGAAAAAGAAGGATAAGCATAAGCCAGTCTCATAAATAATGAAAAAATCCAAGTGGAAACATTTGGAAAGCAAGTGGTAGATTGATGATATAATACTGCCTGATGTCAAACCAACTGAACTAACACTGGTGCTTTTGGGATCACTAATAATAAAATTAAATTATATATCAACTGAGTCAGTTGGAGCATTGGATAGTTTTACTGGGATTTTCAAACTAAAATCTATTCAAAATGCCACTACCTACAACAAAAGCAGTCAGTATATTAAGATATTACTTTATTAATATTTCAGTGATGTTGACAGCTGATATCATTCATATTAACTTTAACCTCTTTTAATTAAAAATAATGCAAGGATGGTAACCACTCTGTTTGCACCCTTATGGTGGAGACGCAGTACAGTGTCGTAAGCCAAGCAGTAGAGAGCAGTCGTAGACATTGGTGTGCAAGAATTGAAACTATCTAAAAGTTCTAAAGAAAGAAACTGTAGCACCGCATAATCAAGATAGTGTAGCAGGGCTACTGTGCATAAGGATGATGTTAAGAAGTTGATCTGCTCCCTGCAGTATTATTGGTCGTCAATTATAAAACATGGAATGGAGGAATAGGACTCTCACAGCAGCCGCAGAAGTGTTGGAAGGGTGATGCACAGACTCTGTAAAGTGCACGTCATGTGTATTTTTAATACTTTGCAAAATAATGCACATTTGTGTTCATTTAAATTATTGATTTCTTTATTATAAATTCATCCATTTGTCAAACACTGATAGTTACTATATTATATCAGTTAGACTTTAAAATTTATTTGTGCTTTTTTTTTTTTTTTTATTACTGGGGGTTGAACTCAGGCCCTTGCGCTTGCCAGGGAAG